GTGTGTGTGTGTGTGTGTGTGTGTGTGTGTGTGTGTGTGTGTGTGTGTGTGTTTGCGTGTGTGTGTTTGCGTGTGTGTGTGTGTGTGTGTGTTTGCGTGTGTGTGTTTGCGTGTGTGTGTGTGTGTGTGTGTGTGTACTTTTGGGATGCTAATGGGGGTCCGGGGTCGGGTCCGGTCTGTCTTGATGAGGTGTCGCTGGTCGGCTGGCAGCAGGTGATACTTCATGGCTTCTATGAGGAAATCTTTACAGGTGTTGTTGTTCTTTATCAAAGCCTCCTCCTCGACAATCTGAAACAGGAAGCACATTTCAGGACAGTTTATTACAGTACATGTCACTTGTTAGCTGCTTTTACCCAAAGCGACTAACATACACTCAATACTGTTGAGCAATCGCCACACAGCAATTTTGGGGTGAAGGGACACTATGACATGCTGAATGCAGTGGGGATTGAACCAGTGTTCCCCTGATCCGAAGATCAGCAAACCCACTGAGCCACAGCCTCCCCCTATCTTTATGTACCTTATTCAAATGGGTGGGTTTACATGCACCTGGAGCGTGAAGCAGGTCAGGTACCACATTACTATTAATCTCATAGTACCCCACTTTTTTTCAACATGGTTACTTTTTATGTAGCAATTACAAAAGATACTAATTCCTGTTTAATATTTGTTTTTTGTGTCTGCGACGGATCAGATGATAGCAGGCAGCGTTTCCTCACAGCGAATGTTTGTGTTAAAAAAATAGTAAAAGGTTAAGCAGTGGACTCACTTAGATTTCAAGAAGATTATTTTTTTTAGGATGCAATTGAAGTCAGAATTATTTTTAATAGGATGCATCGCCAACATATTAGGCTGTTGGAGGACTAGCAGATCATCTTCAGGCCTCACTCACATATCCTTTGGTCTGTTACTTATGTAGTTTTACTCATAGTCTGGACAATATTCTAGTGCCAACCCTTTTCTACAACTACAAACACATATAGGTGACATTCATAACAGAAAAGGCCAGTGAAGCGGGCTAAAGTAGAAAGTGTAGAAAGCAGAGCAGTATTGATTTTACCTGCACCAGGTAATCCCTGGACAGCAGTGGAAGTCTGACGTGCTCCATTAGTTTGGGCATGTACTCCAGACGAGCTGGCTTATCGGACTTTATCCAAGATATCATCGCCTCAAATACCTGAAGGAGAGAGAAAGAGTAGAGAGGGAACCCAAATTACAGAAGGGGGGAATTGTTCAATTGTTAAACTGATCCAGAATCAGTCATTTGATCTGTCTTTGTATGGTTTTGTGTAGTTTTAGGTCTGTTACCTCTGAATACTGAACACATTTACATTTGGAAATGTTTCTACTCTATGTGTCTTTACTTTTGAAATGTTAGGTTTGGATTTTTTTTGCTATGTATTTTGTCAAGCACCAATAAACTTCCTTGTGAATAAAAAACACACTTAGCTTTCTGGTTCTGGTTAAAAATACGATGAAATGTCAAGGTCCGTACTCTTGTCTGTTTAAAATAAACTGTGTGTATATGTTAACAAGTTGGTTCATTGGGGATGCAGGAGCAAAACTGATTGCGTAATTAAACAGGTTTGTAGAGGGCGGGTTTCAGACATTGTTCAACGATCTGACACGCCGAAACATTTAGATGAATTTAACTCACTGATTGAATCAATTGCCTCATTCAAGCTGTAGAAGCGGCTTTCTTTCATTGGGAAATACCAATATTGATTGCTCCCAGCAGGACAGCAGTATAACAGAGGTGGCAGACCTTTGTTGTGCATGTGTTCCTTCCAAAATCAGCTGCTTCAAATTAATTGATTAACACAAATTCACTTGAGAATCTCCTGAGGAACCAGGGTTTGAGACAAAGGAACGACAACGATGATAGTTGAGGAAGGGGGCCGTTACTCAGCGACTGCCGACACCTTCTTCTAATTCAGGGTTCAAACTAGAAGACTCTAACAACAATGTGTACACAATGTGTCTCATAGATAGTGTCTGCCATTTACTGTCTCTTTTATAAGACTTATATTGAATTAAAAAAAACACTATATTTAAGCAATAGCTCACGACAGGCCGTGGTATATGGTCATTATATCACAGCTAAGGGGCGTGGTTCGGCCCAACGCGAAGCATGCAGTTTTGCTTTTCAGCCCAACTGTATACAGTTAAATCGACCGGACTTCTTTCTGCAGATGTGAGCGTCCTTAACAACGGTCAATAAGTCCTTGCTGCACATTATCCCTTACATCAGGGGTGGGGAACCTCCGGCCTCC